GCTTTGAAGGAAATAGCAAAAAATAAAGCCCCAGGAATAGATGGTATACCAACTGAAGTATTTCAGATAACAGATGTTGCCCTGGATGTGCTCACCAAATTGTGCCAAGAAATCTGGAGAACAACCACTTGGCCAACTGACTGGAAGAGATCTATATTTGTTCCCATTTCAAAGAAAGTTGACCCAACTGCTTGTGGAAACTACAGAACAGTGTCAATGATTTCACATGCAAGCAAGGTTCTACTGAAGATTATCCAAAAACGATTAGAACAGCACATCAGCAGAGAATTGTCAGAAGTCTAGGCTGGGTTTAGAAGGGGTCATGGTACTAGGGATATTGTTGCTGATGTTAGATGGATCTTGGCTGAAAGCAGAGAATACCAGAAGTATGCATATCTGTATTTCATTGATTATGCAAAGGTGTTTGACTGTGTGGATCTTATAATATACCAAACATAATTTTGATACTGAAGTCAAACCCAACTTAACAGAAAAAGACAATTTAAAGGCTTATATTTGCTTATAAATATAAACACTATTATTATATTTAGATTATAATTTATTAAGAAAATCATTCATTTAAATATACAATTCATAAATACTGATATACTAGGTATTGGTGGATGGTGGAGCAGGGAAATAAGTGGGTAAAGACGTGTGTGAGAAAGGCAGGGACAACACTGACACTAAAGTTAACTCCACAGTAAGGGATATACCTTTACCTTGCTGGTCTGTTTGATACTTCTCTAAATCGGAACATTAACACAGACTAGGTAGAAGGATTGGCCATCCACTTCTGAAATAGCAGGCCTCTGAAAACCCTATGTACAACAAAACACATTTAGAAAACAGAAAAGGCAAAGGAGGTTGAGTTTTCAAGTATGGACTGGGATAATTGGGATGGGAGTGTCAGAGACGGTGCGATTGGCACAGGACAGAGCGGAGTTTAGGGCTGTTGTACATAGGGTCGCTATGAGTAGCAAGCGACTCGACGGCACATAACAACCACAACAACAGGTATTGGTGAAAAGAGATGGATTGACACAGGTCATTTTGAAGCAATCATATGATCTACTACAATGGAAATGAAAAGGTGAAGAAAAATGAGGTCGCTTTCTTGGTTAAAAGGGTCATTTCTAGATTTATCTTGAAATATAACATTGTGGGTGACAGGATAATAGTCATACGCATACAAAGAAACCCAGCGAATACCACTATTATTTAAATATCTACACCAACAACCAAAGCCAAAGAGGAAGAAATAGATGATTTCTACCAACTT